TTATTAAAGGTCCAGGTAAGGGTGTTTCCAAGGAAAGAAGATACACCACATTGGTATAAAGGGAAACATAAAAATGATGGAGCAGAAAGGATAAGATGGGGTGGGGAAATGGAAGGAAAAAAAATATAGATAGGAGTGTGGGGAAGGACAGATAACAAACAGTAAAGCCCTTCTGATAAAAGTCACATGAAATACTACTATTGCAGATATCCTCTTACATAAACACATACAAAACACATTTCAATAGAGTTACTCTGTATCTGGACAGCAATGCCTCTACTAGACATCATCAGCTAACAAATAAAAATCCCAGTGTCAGGAATGGGTTGTTTCTCTTTTATGTGATGGCCAGTGAGGTTCCACAGACCCCCACACATTACAGACTGTTGCCTTTTCTCCTGGTTGCCTCCAGAACTTGAAGGTAAGACTCTATTGCTGAAGATATTGCACACTTGAGTCACAGGACATGGAGAAGTCAAGCTGAAACTACCCTCCAAGCTTCATCCTTATGGGCTAGCTTCATGGTACTGGAACGTACTACACACACTATCAGAAGAGTTATGCGAGTAACCAACCATCTTCTGACTGGATTTAAGGCCTGCTGCACAATATGGAACCTGTAACTTGCACCATTATCAAAGAATCCATAGCTAGATGGGTGATCAGCCCTAGTGGGAAACCTATTACTTTGTTAAAGGGGCATATAATCAAACAGACTCCTAATGACTTACTGTGACAGCCACAGATTCAGGCATCTCTCCAACCCCATCAGAGAAGCTTCTTTTTGCAGTAATGAGTCACACAGAGACCCACAACTTGTTAAGGTTCAGAGAAGAAACTGTGGAGTACTCAACCCTAAACAGGGCATGTATCTCACACTGCTTCTCCCAAGGTTCAAGAAAGAAGAGGCAGAAAGATTTGAGAGCCTGAGGTGGTAGATGACTTCAGCAGTGTTCTCTGGATGTAAAAGGACAGTTGCTCTCATGCACTCACAGTGATTGTGAGGGCATACACAGGATTTGAGTAACCTCAGAAGAGCAAAATCCTAGCATCACAGGGAGGAGTCACAAAGTTTACTCACAGTGATTGTGGGGGCATACACAGGATCTGAGTAAGCTCAGAAGAGACAAGATCCTAGCACCACAGGGAGAGGGAGTCACAAAGTTCTATTCCTGGCTAAGGAGCTATTGGTGACTGCTAGCTGCTAGGAAAACAGTCAGATTTCTTTAAGGGTGAGGCTCCTGGCAGATAAGCATGCGCCAGTGAATGGCCACACTGACAAGGAAATATGGGCAGCGCTCCTTGGACTGGATGGTTTCAAAACAAACAAGGACACAAAGCCCCGTGAGTGTGGAATGCAGGGGGGATCCGGGAGGAGCTGAGGAATAGCTGAGTAGGTTTGAAATATAATGTATAAAATTGTCAAAGGACTAATAAAAATATACTTTATAGTAAATTCTGGGGAAATACTTCATTGTGATATTTCATTTCTTTTTTAATAAATAAAGCTTGCCTGACATTCAGAGAGTAAAACAACCACACTGGTCAGCCTTATGGAACGGGCAGGGGTGACACCTTTAATCCCAGTAGCCACACTGGTTGCTGTAGAAATCAGATGGTAGTGATGTGCGCCTTTAATCCCAGCCCAAGAGAGAAATATAAGATGGGAGAAGACAGCTCTTAGACACAGTATCATTCTGAGGATTCATGGAGGCAGGATCACTATTTCAGTCTGAGGGAGAGGTAAGAGTTAGTGGGTGGTTGCTTTGTTTTTCTGACCTTCAGGTTGAACCCCAGTTTCTGTCTCTGGGTTTTGATCAATCGTGCTACAATACTTGAAGCTTTCCAAAATCCATTTTAAAATTTATAACTGAATAACCACAATACTTTTAGGTGATAAATGAACACTATCCTGGGGATTATCAAGGTGAATATTCATCCTTTGATTTGAGGATTTTGTCTTGGTCACTTAAGTTAACTTTAGGCTAAAGACAGCTTGAGGGACTGTTCTCTCAGTCTCAAGAGCCTGTGCCTCTTTTCATTGGTTCTCATTCACTATTTTGTAGGAGAGGGACGTTTTCTGGAAACTGTCTGAGTAATACCGCAGCTAGTGACATCGGATGTCAGAAGGCCAAGTCTTCGATTTTCAGAATCATGTCTTTGAGGGTCCCATGACAGGGTTAAGGCAGATATTATACTTATTGACTGGCCTTTCCTCCCCTAGAGCATGATGAAGTGATACAGAAGTGACATGAATTGATCCTAGTACAATCTTGAAACATAAGTTAACATTCTATTTCAGTGTTTATATTTTCCTATCCTTAGAAAGGAATCAACATGAAATATTATAAGTTAGAATGAAGAGTTTGGGTGATTTCTCATCTATAAAGATGCTTTAACAAGCTCTGGTCAGTTGTGTACCATACTCAAGAATGTACATGAGGCTCCATGGAGATTATAGGCTAACACAGGCCAGAACAGTGTTCCATCCCTGGCCCACAGGGTATACTCAATACTTCAGGAAATTTATAGGACTTCTATTTGCTGACATTTGTGAATCCTCTTTTAGCTGAAAGACTGGGGAACAAATCAGTTACACAGTCTTAAGGCTTATATCACTCTTTTGCTAACATCCTTAGCCATTAGAAAAATGCAAATCAAAACAACTCAGATTCCATCTTACACCTGTAAGAATGGTCAAGATCAAAAACACTGATGACAACTTATGCTGGAGAGAATGTGGGGTAAAGGGAACACCCCTGCATTGCTGATGGGTGTGCAAACTGGTACAGCAGCTTTGGAAATCAGTAAGGCAATTTCTCAGAAAATTAGGAAACAACCTTCCTCAAGACCCAGTAATACCACTTCTAGGTATATACTCAAAGGATGCTCAATCATACCACAAGGGCATGTGCTCAGCTGTGTTCATATCAGCTTTGCTTGTCATAGCCAGAACATGGAAACAACCTAAATGCCCCATCGACTGAAGAATGAATAAAGAAGATGTGATACATTCATACATTGAAGTACTACATAACAGAAAAAAATAATGACATCTTGAAATTTGCAGGCAAATGGATGGATCTAGAAAACATATCAAGTGAGGTGACTCAGACCCAGAAAGACAAATATCATATGTACTCTCTCCTAAGTGACTTTTAGACATAAACCAAAGCAAAACCAGCCTTCAATTCACAATCTCAGAGAACATAGACAACAAAGAGGACCAGAGAGAGAGATACATGGATCTAATCTACATGGGATGTAGAAAAAGGCAAGATCTCCTGAGTAAATTGGGAGCATGAGGATCATGGAAAAGGGTAGAAGAGGAGGGGGAAGGAAGGGAAGGGAGTGGAGAAAAAATATATAACTCAATAAAAACAATTTTTAAAATTACCCAAAAAAGAAAAAAGAAAAAAAAAAGGACTTACATCAGTCTTTGCAGTATATGAAGAGGCAGGCAAGAAAATAGTATTATCACTATTGAAACCTGGAAAAATAGACACTGGATCTTTTTCCATGCATTTGGCCACTCAGAGAGTTTAGAAATATGAGAAACACGGTTGCTGTTCCAACCCAAATTTAAATACTTCATTAGGCAGATTTTTAGTTTCCTATGTAACTGATCATGGTAAGAATCTGAATAAAGATACCAAAGCTGGTGAAGGAAGCTTCCTGAACTTCCTTTCCCAGCAACTCAGTAGCCACGAATAGAGGAACAGGTGGATTTAAGCACTTCCTCTTTATCAAAATAAAGGGGAACTAATGTGTGGAATAATTTTTAAAAAGACTCAGTAAGAGACAACCCCCCACAAAACATTGGTGAAAACAATCCAGTCTGCATGCTGGTCTTGTCCAGCCACAATTTTGCTGCCATTCATTTTGCAGTGGGAGCCTTTATCACAGTGTCCATTAGCCTCACCCCAGTGTCGATTTAGCTGTTTGTAATGGGGAAAAGGAGGCTGCGCTTGTGTCTTCTTCATCTTTTTACAAATTAATATTTATATTAGTCTCATTTATTTGTTGTTAGAGTTTTGCTATTGTTTTTGTTTTTCCCCAAAGTAAAAGACACTCTTGAAATGATGATTTTTCTGCAAAGCAAAGACCAGGTTGTCATTACAATGTTTCATGGATAATCTGGTAATTTGTAGACTCCATAGTGCACAGACAGATCTTTTATTGGGCATTTTCACTGAACTGTGCTAGCATTATCACTGAAGTTAAATTTGTATTAAATTTTAAAGCCGACAGGTATGTGTTACTGGTAGACATAGGCATTCTCCCAGAGTGTTTGAATCTTGCACGCTACAATTCCTTCAAACAATGGAGCTCTTTTCAGAAACAAGTGTAAACAGAACTCAGGCAGCCATGCAAACGGAGTACTTGTGAAAGTGTGACATGCAGAAATTAAGAGCATTCAGTGATCAGAGCATGATTAGTGTCTATACCATGCCCAACAATCCTGTAGAAATGGAAACTAGCAAAAGAGGAAACTGCCAGGCACTAAATGTCACAGACACTATCTTTACGGCAGGGGTGGGCAAACAGATAAAAGGCACCACTCTGTCAGAAAACATGATGAAGAGGATATGGGGAGCAAGGGGTGAGTTTGTTGGAGGTGGGCACTGCTGAGAAGGCCCAGAGCAAAGGATTCTCCATCCAGGGAGACTGTGAAATGAAGGAGGAAGACATTTGAAAGAATGTGACTGAACTTGTTCTCTCATTCCCCAGAAGCCTGTGGTGTAAGACTAAGCATAAAGAACATGTAGCAATCTGTACACACAAGCACCTGCGACTGTGACTTTACTCTTTATGCAAATATGCTGGATTATTCACACGGAGTTTATAAAATGACGGTAAAAGCCACACTGAAGCCTTTGCAGCCGAGCTGTTGGACACGTGCATTTCATGTGAGAAATGAAGGAAGGCTTTAGGTGGAGGAAGTGGCCTCTTGTTATCTTGTGACTCTCAATTATTCATCATAGAAACCACAGCACAGACACGAAGACACAGACAGGGCACAAGACAGTGACACTGTTGTCTTCATAGGTAAGTGGTGAGATTTCTTCGTTCTTTCAATTTTGGTCTTCCCCAGCTTGGGACTGTGGTAGGATCTGTATGCTCCACCTTATAGCAACAGCTCATGCTTAGCTTGCGTATGTTCATGATTATGTGGAAACCAAATGACCATCTGTAAAAGAGACACAGATCAAAAGGTTTTAAAAATTCCTAAAATACCATCACTATTGGAGGAAAAAATATCCTGTCTGCATTAGACTTTCCAACTTCTTAGGAACTCTCCCGGATGATTTTCCTTGGTGCATAAAACAATACAAAATTTAATTTATGGTCATTTTTTTTCTTTTAAGTCCAGAGGTTTGATTTACATCTCATTCTATCATTTTAAGGCATATTTTGTTGAAATTTGTGCATGCTTGTCCAGGAACTATTTTCTGTCACCATTCAGCTTTAATGATAACTCAAGACTTTTGCCTCAGTTCAGAAGTTCGAGCTAGAAACTCTAAAGAGCAGTTTAGTTATTTCTTGTGTGCAGATGTTAATGGAAGACAAGCCTCTAAAATGGTATTTAGTTGCTTTTTTATTAAAAAAAATAGAGATCTCCACTTACTGGCTCATAATTAAAACTTCAGTGTTTGAAATCGGCAACTTAGTTAAAGCTTCTATTCCTCTCTTGATCTAAGCTTTTCACTCCAGTCTGGTACATATTCCAGATCTGAACTAAAAATGTCCCCCCGGGGGCACTATGAAATGAGGGAAGTTGGTGTACTCTCCATTCCCTTAGCTTTTAGGGAGCAAAGGCTGCTATTACTAGATGCCAAAGTGTATCAGAAGTTGGTTTCCTGTGGAAAATAGCCCCCTTAGTGGTTCTCTGCATCCAGCTTCTGCATTTTAAAATGACAGAGTCTATGCAGCGAGGGCCAAGCGTTGTACCACTGCACTAGATCTGCTGTGTGTGGGGCTAAGGAACACTGCAAAGGGACTACTGGCAAGACCACGGATGCTTTCGGATGCGTGCTTCACACCCAAGCTAGTGCAGGATTGCTGGACATGTGAAAAGGACCTGGTAGGAAGCCCCAAGTGTCTTTGAGTTACAAATGTCTTTTATTGAAATGTAAGAGCTCAGCTAAGACATGGTTGTTAAGTATATTATAAAATTGATCTTGTAATTGATCATCTGTGGTCGAATCATGACTGAGATGTAGAATGTTGTAACGACCCTTCTGGAGAAGGCTAGCATGCTCAGGCTCAAACCACAGACAAACTGAAGGTGAAAAGGCCAGGATCCAGGGAAAGGAAGGCCATCAGCAATCAGCAAAGGTTCTTGTGACCTGATGAAGATAGTGGGGTGTTGCAAGACTACAACACTCAAAAACAACCCACCCTTTGTCTTGCGGTGAGACTTCTGATCAAGACATGCAGGAAGTCTCGCACCACTCCCAAGAAGAGCAAGCATAAGACAAAGAAGGTTAAGTTGATTGTCATGAAATACCGGAATGGGAATGAAAAAGGCAAAATCAGTCACCTGTGTCAAGAGATGAATGCGGGGCTGGAGTCTCCATGGCCAGCGTCTTTGGCAGCCATCACTGTGGCCAGTGCTGTCTCACTGCCTGCTTCAGCAAACTGGAAGACTGATAGGAAAAAAGATAGGAACTGGAAGAAAATTATTTAATGTTTCTTTTTTTTTTTAGATATCGAGTAGGGCTTTTATCTTTTTTAATTTAAATTTATTTATTTATTAAGGATTTCTGCCTCGTCCCCACAACCGCTTCCCATTTCCCTCCCCCTCCCCCGATCAAGTCCCCCTCCCTCATCGCTCGAAGAGCACTCAGGGTTCCCTGACCTGTGGGAAGCCCAAGGACTGCCCACCTCTATCCAGGTCTCGTAAGGTGAGCATCCAAACTGCCTAGGCTCCCACAAAGCCAGTACGTGCAGTAGGATCAAAAACCCACTGCAATTGTTCTTGAATTCTCAGTATTCCTCATTGTCCACTATGTTCAGCTAGTCCGGATTTATCCCATGCCTTCTCAGACCTAGGCCAGCTGGCCTTGGTGAGATCCCAATAGAACATCCCCATAGTCTTAGTGTGTGGGTGCACCCCTCGTGGTCCTGAGTTCCTTGCTCGTGCTCCGTCTCCTTCTGCTCCTGATTTGGACCTTGAGATTTCTGTCTGGTGCTCCCATGTGGGTCTCTGTCTCTGTCTCCTTTCATCGCCTGATGAAGGTTAATATTCATGAGGATGCCTATGTGTTTGTCTTTGGATTCACCTTCTTATTTAGCTTCTCTAGGAACATGAATTATAAGCTCAATGTCCTTTATTTATGCCTAGAAACCAAATATGAGTGAGTACATCCCATGTTCCTTTTTTTGGGTCTGGCTTACCTCACTCAGGATAGTGTTTTCTATTTCCATCCATTTGTATGCAAAATTCAAGAAGTCCTTGTTTTTTACTGCTGAGTAATACTCTAATATGTATATATTCCATACTTTCTTCATCCATTCTTCCGTTGAAGGGCATCTAGGATGTTTCCAGGTTCTGGCTATTACAAACAATGCTGCCATGAACATAGTTGAGCATATACTTTTGTTGTATGATAAGGCCTCTCTTGGGTATATTCCCAAGAGTGGTATTGCTGGATCCAGGGGTAGGTTGATCCCGAATTTCCTGAGAAACCGAAACACTGCTTTCCAGAGTGGTGGCACAAGTTTGCATTCCCACCAGCAATGGGTGAGTGTACCCCTTTCTCCACAACCTCTGCAGCAAAGGCTATCATTGGTGTTTTTGATTTTAGCCATTCTGACAGGTGTAAGGTGGTATCTTAAAGTTGTCTTGATTTGCATTTCCCTGATCGCTAAGGAAGTTGAGCATGACCTTAAGTGTCTTTTGGCCATTTGAAGTTCTTCTGTTGAGAATTCTCTGTTCAGATCAGTGCCCCATTTTATAATTGGGTTGATTAGCCTTTTACGGTCTAGTTTCTTGAGTTCTTTATATATTTTGGAGATCAAACCTTTGTCAGTTGCAGGGTTGGTGAAGATCTTCTCCCAGTCAGTGGGTTGCCTTTTTGTCTTAGTGACAGTGTCCTTTGCTTTACAGAAGCTTCTCAGCCTCAGGAAGTCCCATTTATTCAATGAGGTCCTTAGTGTCTGTGCTGCTGGGGTTGTACATAGGAAGTGGTCTCCTGTGCCCATGTGCTGTAGAGTACTTCCCACTTTCTCTTCTATCAGGTTCAGTGTGTTCAGACTGATATTGAGGTCTTTAATCCATTTGGACTTGAGTTTTGTGCATGGTGATAGATATGGATCTATTTTCATTCTTCTACAGATTGACATCCAGTTTTGCCAGCACAATTTGTTGAAGATGCTCTCTTTTTTCCATTGTATACTTTTAGCTCCTTTATCGAAAATCAGGTGTTCATAGGTTTGTGGGTTAATGTCAGGGTCTTCTATTCGATTCCATTGGTCGACTTCTCTGTTTTTATGCCAATACCAAGCTGTTTTCAATACTGTAGCTCTGTAATAGAGTTTGAAGTCAGGGATGGTAATGCCTCCAGACAATCCTTTATTGTATAAGATTGTTTTGGCTATCCTGGGTTTTTTGTTTTTCCATATAAAGTTGATTATTGTCTTCTCCAGATCTGTGAAGAATTTTGATGGGATTTTGATGGGGATTGCATTGAATCTATAGATTGCTTTTGGTAGAATTGCCATTTTTACTATGTTGATCCTCCCAATCCAAGAGCAAGGGAGGTCTTTCCATTTTCTGGTGTCTTCTTCAATTTCTTTCTTCAAAGACTTATAGTTCTTGTCAAGTAGATCTTTCACTTCCTTGGTAGGGGTTACCCCAAGATATTTTATGCTATTTGTGGCTATCGTGAAAGGTGATGCTTCTCTGATTTCCCTCTCTGTTTCCTTATCCTTAGTGTATAGGAAGGCAACTGATTTTTTGGAGTTGATCTTGTATCCTGCCACATTACTAAAGGTGTTTATCAGCTGTAGGAGTTCTTTGGTAGAATTTTTGGGGTCGCTTATGTATACTATCATATCATCTGCAAATAACGAAAGCTTAACTTCTCCCTTTCCAATACGAATCCCCTTGATCTCCTTATGTTGTCTTATTGCTATTGCTAGAATTTCAAGCACTATATTGAAGAGGTATGGAGAGAGTGGACATCCTTGTCGTGTTCCTGATTTTAGTGGGATGGCTTTGAGTTTTTCTCCATTTAATTTAATGTTAGCCGACGGCTTGCTGTAAATAGCTTTTATTATATTTAGGTAGGACCCTTGTATCCCTATTCTCTCCAAGACCTTTATCATAAAGGGGTGTTGAATTTTGTCGAATGCTTTTTCAGCATCTAATGAAATGATCATATGGTTTTTTTCTTTCAGTTTATTTATATGGTGGATTACATTGATAGATTTGCGTATGTTGAACCAGCCCTGCATCTCTGGGATGAAGCCTACTTGATCATAATGGATAATTTTTCTTATGTGTTCTTGGATACGGTTTGCCAGTATTTTGTTGAGGATTTTTGCGTCGATATTCATGAGTGAAATTGGCCTGTAATTCTCTTTCTTGGTTGGGTCTTTTTGTGGTTTTGGTATCAGGGTAACTGTAGCTTCATAAAAGGAATTTGGCAATGACTCTTCTGTTTCTATATTGTGAAATACATTAAGGAGTATAGGTATTAGTTCTTCTTGGAAGTTCTGGTAGAATTCTGCATTGAAACCATATGGTCCTGGGCTTTTTTTCGAAGGGAGATTTTTGATAACCATTTATAATTCTTCGCGAGTAACCGGTCTATTTAGATCATTCACCTGGTATTGGTTTAGCTTTGGTATATGGTACTTATTTAAAAAAAAATGTCCATTTCTTTTGTATTTTCCAGTTTTGTGGCATACAGGCTTTTGTAGTAAGATCTAATGATTCTCTGAATTTCCTCTGTGTCTGTGGTTATGTCCCCCTTTTCATTTCTGATCTTATTTATTTGCATGTTCTCTCTCTGTCGTTTAATTAGTTTGGATAGGGGTTT